GTCAAAAAAATTTTCCTAGGCCCTCCCCCCGGCTCAAAAAATTTTTCCTAGGCCCTCCCCCCGGCGTGAATCATAGAGAGTGAAATTTCGTATGGGGAGGACGAGATTTTGATTGAAAATTTACCCCGCATGAAGCGCCGAAGACGCGAGCCATCGCGCCGCAGGCGCCACTAGAGCCCGAGTAGGCCCGCCTTTTTGGGGGGGGGCATGTCCCCCCCGGAAAAATTTTGAATTTCAACCCATGTTTTGCATGTTGAGGGGCAAATTTGGCAGCACAAATTTCGCTGGTACATCGAGCTATAAATTTAAAGTCGGTATTAAACGTTATGGTCAGTCAGTGTAATCGAAATAATCCTCTATCTAGCCTACCTATCGTCCACGAACTTCTTCCGCGTCAATTTTATTACAAACAGGGAAACAATATTGCCAACTTACGTGTTGTTTTCAATTAACTTTGGAGGGACATAGATATAAATGTTAAAATAGTCCTTGGTTTAAGAAAAAATACCAAATTAATCCGTCGACATCCGACATCAGTGTTCTCGCCAGGCCTTTTGAGCATAGCGGGCCGCTATGCTGTGAATTTGTTCCGCTATGCTGTAATTTTGCCGCTATGCTGTGTTTCCGACCAGCGTAGCGGGATTTTCAATTGATGTTTACCCTTTTGATCTCGGCTACCGTCGTAATAATCCTTGCTTTAAACTTGATAAAAATAATGTCTTTGCTCTCGGCACAATGAGCATCTCATAGAAGGCAGTTTCAAGTAACAAAGAAGTGATTCACAACCTGCTGTGAGTTAATTAATCAAACCCCCCAAATTGGCAGCGATAGACGGGCGTGACATAGGGCGTGACATTCAGGCCGAGGAGCGGCTCAGGAGCGGCCGGCTCGCTAAGTTTTGCCTGTACGTACGAAGCTCAGTGCTCGGAAACAAACATTATCACTTACATCAGTACCTAGTCTTTGAGATTTCTTATCAATTACACCTAAAAACTAGCAGAAATACCCAAATTTTGTGAGGTAAACAAGTACCGAAACGAGAACTTGAAGTACCTGCCCTCCCCTCATGCTTGCCGGGAACATGACGGGCGTAAATAAAGCTCTAATCCCAGAAACCTGGGTGCCATTATGTACGCCACTCAACAGCATACATCCTTTATTGTTGTCCAAACATGTCCATTTTTTTGGCTGGATCGTCTTGCATGGAGAAATTTACCGAAAAATCAAACAGACAGCGCTAACAGGACAATGCTCGGCCATGGGCGGCATGCTTTGGATAAGTTCATTTCAAGGGAGCACGATGTCTCAACTGTAATGTTGTCTACCTTTCAACATCTGTCAATTAGATTTTAAATTCAAAATCTAAGCACTAAAATATAATTATGCCATGCTGTTCCTGCAAAATATCGTATTTCTTATAATTTGACAAGGGCTTGAACTGTTTCCAAGAAACTTTCCCCCTGCTTACAGAATAGACTCTTCCAAGATGGCTCGCACGCAACACATGTTAGAAATTGACACAGCTGGACGGAAGCAGCTTTTTACTGTGTTTTCCCTCAAAATGTTCTTGATTTCGTCGGTAATATAGCTCATTATCAAGTAATTCTACCATTTTACCAATATAATTTACCAATGACATGGGGAATCACAGCGTATTTACCAAAGAACCTCTTGCTGACTGCCGATGTTGTGTTGACAGATGAAAGAAACCCTTTGAACTATGCCGAGGCTTGGGCCAATTTTGACTGTGTCGCAAAGTTAAAATATCAGAACAAATTCTAAAACAAAACATGATACAAGTGTACTCCTGTAGTTTCCTTTTTGAAACATTGAAACATGCATAACAGATTTATAATCATGTCAAAATGATTCCTAAATATTTAGTTGTACAATATAAAAAAAAAGTATTTTGCCAAAGACCTATACCAAGCATAAGTAACTCCATTTATTATGACCCTTCATGAATTTGGAAATAAATTTTTGGCTTAAAAAAGCTGTAACAAAGGTGAAAACTTTTT